AACGGTAGTGCAGAGGCTTATAGGAGGCCATTTTTTGCCCCCTGCAGCCCCCAGGAGCACTCTATAAGCCTCCTAAAGGCTATGTATGCCCTTTTTTTTGGACAAAAAACGGGCCATTTTTTGCTCATTTTTGCCCCTCCTGCCCCCCAGAGCACTCTATAAGCCTCCTAAAGGCTATGTATGCCCTTTTTTTTGGACAAAAAACGGGCCATTTTTTGCTCATTTTTGCCCCTCCTGCCCCCCAGAGCACTCTATAAGCCTCCTAAAGGCTATTCATGCCCTTTTTTGGACAAAAAATGGGCCCGTTTTTGTGAAAAATGGGCCGTTTTGCAGAGGTCTGCAGAGTGCAAAAACTTTTTAAATTTGCCTCTTCAAAATCTTGGTGCTTCTTATACTTGAAAAATATGGCAGTTTGTTGTACGCAAGAGACCAGCCGAGGAGCAAAATTCATAAAAAGCAACCTTGTGCCCTTCCCATCCGTGCCATTTCAAACTCCGGAAAGCTCATGAGAGTTTACACGGTTTACTGTATGAAACACCTTTAAAATATGTTTATTGGGGGGGTGGGGGGAAGAAAGGGGGAGACCATGAATTAAAAGACGATGCCAAGAAAAACGTCTCGTGTTGGTTTTTTTTTTCTGTGAAATTTCCTCCAAATCTGTCCACTCTGCTAAATAATATTCCGGATCTTGTCAACAGTTGCTTTTCTTTCTTTCTTTTTCTTTCTTTCTTTTTCTTTTTTTTTTCTCCAGGAAGGCAATTTACTAAAATCAACTAAGGTTAAGTTAGCCTACAAGTTCACAAAAATGCAACAGTTAAAGATAATTGGTTTCTTCGTTTCCCCTTTAAAATGGCAATGTTAAATTGTCGTCTAAGTTGTGAACATTTAAATAGAATATATATCTCCTATGAAAAAAAAAAGTTGGAGCACAAGTGTTTCTGTCCTCGCGCCCCACTCCTTTTGTTTTTCCCCCCCTCCTGCCCGCCCCGCCTTCCCTTCCAAAGTTTATTTTTTGGGCCCTGGCCAAATTGGAATGCTTTTGTTACGTACAACCATAACGACTTTGTGCGCCCCCCTTCAGGAAATATAGAGTCAAAAATATACAATTCTCTCCTTTTTTTACTACAAGCTCTGCATCTGGACGATTGTTCTTTTTGTTTTGTCAGGATTATGGAACTGGAGGAGGAGGAGGAGGAGGTGGTGGTGGTGAGGGAAAGCGATGGGTCAAAAGAAAAATAGTTGTAGGGAAAAAAAGCGAAGAAAATCTAGTCGCTCGGGTTGGAGGGGGGGGGAGAGGAGACAGGGAGAGGCTCCAAAAAAAAGGGGGGTACCCCAAAATTGCAGGGCTGGTGAAATTTTCAACTGCTTAAAAATTGATACTGTAGTGGAGTTTCCTAGGAAAAATAAAACACCTTTTTTTTTTTTAATAACTGGCCCGCTGGTATGAGCTACCATGGAATAAATTAGCACAAAAAACGGGAGTTCTTATAACTGTTCGCTGTTACAGACGTAATCCACAAGGTCAGTCACCCGCAAGAGTTCGTCCTCGTCTTCCTCTGGTCCGCCGGCCTCCAGGCCGCCCCCCGTCCCATTGGGTGCCAAAGTGGCATTGGCTGTGCTGTCCTTGGTCGAGGGGGCTTTCTCGGCGGGCTTACCAATCAAGTTCTCGATGGCTTTCCCGGGGCTCTGTCCGTTGGTGGAGGGCAAATCCACCAAGCTGTAGTCCAAGGGGCTTTCCACCTTACTCACATTGTCAAAGTCATCTTCCTCGTCGCTTTCTATCCGGTAGCTGGGTTTCTTGACGGGGTCCTGCGGGGCGGGAGGGGACAAGGGTTTCTCGGCGGGTGGTGATGACGACGGCAGCTTGCCGGCGTCGGGGATGTTGTCTTCCTCGTCCGTTTCGATGCGGTTCACGCGCTTGCGAACGGGACGGCCTCCTTCATCCTCCGGGTCGTCCTCGCCTTCCGAGAACTCGTCGGTGGTGTGGCTCCGTTTGCGGACCGACCGTTTTGACAACCTGGCCGGCTGGTCGTCCTCCGAATGTTTAGACAGGTAGCTCTCTGCAAGAAGGATCAGACTTAAAAGAGCGAAATGTGGAAAGGTTTCACAGAGAAGGGGAGTGGGTGGGGGAATTACAGGTTGTCCTCAACGTACGACCACAACGGAGCCCAACATTTGCATTGCTGAGCAAGACAGTTGTTAAGTGAGCCTGGCCTCAGCTTTCTTGCCACAGCTGTTAAGCAAATCACTGAGGTATAACAATAGCACTTAGACTTATATACCGCTTCACAGTGCTTTTACAACCCTCTCTAAGCAGTTTACATACAGAGTCATCCTCTTGCCCCCATCAATCTGGGTCCTCATTTTACCCATCTCGGAAGGATGGAAGGATGGGTCAACCTTGAGCTAGTCAGAATTGAACTCCTGGATTCTAACCACTGTGCCACCATACCTCGCTCCCTCCCTTCCCTCCTTCCTTCCCTTTTTCCTTCCTTCCTTCCTTCCCTCCCTCCCTCCCTCCTTCCTTCCTTCTTTTGACATATATCACTCCACGCTGCTTTCTAGCCCTAAGTGGTTTACAGAGTCAGCCTCTTGCCCCCAACAATCTGGGTCCTCATTTTACCCACCTCGGAAGGATGGAGGCTGTCAACCTTGAGCCGGTCAGGATCGAACTCCTGGCAGTAGGCAGAGTCAGCCTGCAATAGTCATTCTAACCACTGTGCCACCATAGCTCCTTCCTTCCTTCCCTCCATCCCAAGAGCACTTAAGACTTATATGCTGCTTCACAGTCCATTCCAACCCTCTTTACGCAGTTTACAGCCTCTTGCCCTCAACAGTCTGGGTCCTCATTTTACCCACCTCGGAAGGACGGAAGGCTGAGTCAACTTTGAGCTGGTCAGAATCGAACTGTTGGCAGTGACCAGTGAGTTAGCCTGCAGTACTGCATTCTAACCACTGCGCCACCATGCTATCACGGTTGTTAAGTGAAACTGGCTTATGCATTGACTTTGCTTGTCAGAAGGTCACAAAAGGGGACGCCACAACTGTCATAAATATGAACTCACGGCTAAGCATCCAAATGTAAATCATGTGACCGCGGGGGATGCTGCAATGGTCGTTAAGTGTGAAAAACAGTCATAAGTCGCTTTTTTCAGTGTCACTATGCTGCAACAGTCGTGAGAACTGGTCATAAAGCCCGGGTTCATTCCATGCTGCTGTTGTGTTCAAATAGTCACTAAACGAATGGCCGTAAGTCGAGAACTACCTGTATTGTATGAAATTGTCTGAGTGACCTTGGGCTACTTCTCAATCTAAATGACCATGCGGGGTTATGATGATAAAACAAGAAAAAGAATGAATCCTTTGAACATCTGGAAAAAATATCATAAATAAATACAAATTTCACACTAAAAATTGAATTAGTTACCTTAGGAAATAGATCAGCAAGGCTGTTTTGTGCTTATCTGGACCCACATTCCCCCCAACCTGTGTTCCGTAGTGCGGAGAGTCCTCCATGATTGTAATGGCGTTTAAATGTTGACGGATAATAATAATAATAATAATAATAATAATAATAATAATAATAATAATAATAATAATAATAATAATA